ATCAGAACCTTCATCTGTTAAACCCGTGAAGATCCATGCTGGAATTGGTCTTCAGCAACCCATGCTTGTAAGAGTCGACTAACGGGATCGGATGGGCAGGCTCGCTGACTTGGTTGACACATGTCATCGTATCGCAATTGCGCAGATCAATGCTCATGCTGTTGATGACTGGATTGTCTGGTCCAGACTCAATGATTTACAGACCGCCGTCATATAGCTGGAATACTGCTGAGTGCGGCGTTTAACAACAACCTACCAACTTTGTTGCTCTCGTCCATTTCCTCAGTTACTGCTTGATTGGTGAACATGGAATTATGCCATGCATGTGCCTGGTAATGAAGTCATTAAGACAAATTTAATGCATGAAATGAATTTGAGTAAACTGCTCCTACATACAAATGCTCCTTGTTAAGAACCTCCAGTCTCAGAATGCATAACATTTGCGTAAAGGTTTATAAACGATTTTGGTTTTTCGTTTACTTAAAAATATTGCAGCAATGGTTCTTTCACGTACTGTGGAAGAAAGTCATTACACTGAAGTTGAAACTTTATTGGAATACTGTTTTAAAAATTTGGCTGAGGTACAGAGATTTGTGGCTCTGTTTCTTTTGATAATGAGCTTTTGCAGCAACACGCCTCAGAATAACAATAACTCAGATTGTGTGATTCAGATGCATTCGTCAGGATATATACTTTGAGACAGTAGTTAAGACGTCCCCGCAAAAATAGTAACTTCATCGTTCTCCAGTGACTCGCACTTGGCTGCCGTGTCACCGTACCAGCGTAGTATGTACATATAATAACCTTATCTTGTACAGACATTAATAAAAAGAGCTAAGGTTGTGTCTAGGTCACAGATAATTTCCATGCGTTCTTAAGATAAATCCTACAGACAACCTGTCGCCAGTACACCACCTCACCTCTTCATAACAGTGCATTTTATTCCAGCGACAATCATGTAGAAACTCATTTGTTTCACGCTGCATCTGACAATAGGTCGCAGATAACCCTTGCTTATCTCAAGAATCGGATGGATCATGCTGAGGGACTTGGCCGAGGGCATGAATCGTTCTTAAAAATGTCAATGACTGTTCTGTTCAAACTCGATCATTTGCCTCCATGCCTGCAAGTGTTTGTTTTGTTTGTTAGTTGTTTACCGCCATACTCAGCAATGTTCCAGCTATATGGCGGCGTTCAGTTAAAAATCGAATCTGGACCAGACAATTCAGTGATCAACATCATGAACATCGAATTGCGCAATTGGGCTACGATGGTATGTGTAAATCCGATCCCGTAGGGCGCCCGGCCTGTGTAGTGCAGTTCTTTATGAAAAAGACAAATGACTTCTTTCCATGAAATATTAAACAAAAATACATCTTTAGAAATATATTTTCATCGTTCATAAACATTCATCGACAAAAGGTTATGAAACGTTTTCTTCACGTAACAGTCACAGAGACCCTCATACAATGTCTTCCAGGTCTATAAATGAGGGTGAGTGAGTAAGTTTAGGTTTACGCTTTTAGCAATATTCCAGCAATATCACAGCAGGGTACACCAGAATTGGGCTTCACTCTTTGTACCCATGTGAATCGAACCGGGTCTTCGGCGTGACGAGCGAGCGCTTTAGCCACCAGGTTACCCCACCACCCCGTGTTTTGACTGTGCTTATTCACGAATTAGTTTTTTTAAATATGCATTCTCGTCACGATACGGCTGAAACATTACTGATGTGACGTTAAACACTCACTCACTCACTCACTCACTCACTCACTCACTCACTCACTCACTCACTCACTCACTCACTCACTCACTCACTCACTCACTCACTCACTCACTCACTCACTCACTCACTCACTCACTCACTCACATATGCAGTTGTAAGTTTCAACGGTTCAATACTGTTTTAACAACAAAGCCAAGTCGGTGCGAGACATTAAAACCCACCCTAAATGTGCTGAAAACAAATCTGTATCCCAAACGTTTTTCTTTACTTATAAGCATCATAACGTCTGTACTTCTACACAGGAGTCGTAATTTCAAAATATCTAACATGATTTTCTGGTTCATCAATCACGTGATTGTCTGGTCTGTTTACAGGCCGCCCGTCTTATAGCAGTACATGTATTGCTATGCAGCGTCAGGCAAATTTTGTGAATGACGGGTGTTACATGCTTAGAGAAGCACATGCTTAGCCTTTCGCGAACACCTGGTGTCATCACTGATTTTCGGTGATCTTTTCACAGCTAGATTTCCCTCAACACCAAACGGAATTAGTTTCTTGGCATATCCAAGACTGGATATTCTTTTGCACCGACGTTAGTTTAGAAAGTTAAGAAACATGGAATGCAGCAAGAGAACCTTGGGGCTTGGTTCTTTATCAAAAGAATAATATTGTCACGTGGGGTGGGTTCAAAGAAGGATCATGGCCCTCGAATGGAGTATTGATATATGCTGAGACACCATCCAGTGTGGATTACGAAAAGAAGTCATGTACAGTAACGTAACTTGTTGTTAGAGTCAGATGAAACTATCAAATGTTAGGCTGGTGTTATTTGTCAATACTTTGCCATGTGAAGATTCATTTTACCTTCTTGCCCTATAATTTACTTAAAAGGAGAAATACGAACGAAAACAAAACTTTTGATAGGGGTAAAGGCATTCTAAAAGTCACCTTCCGTGATTAAAATTGAATACTTTTTTTGGAAAATCGCAATGAAAACACAAGAAACGTACTCGTATTTCCGCCTATTACGGAAACACCCGACAGTTAATGAGCAGAGGGGTATCACGTGACATGACGTCATATGTGCCTGTAGCTGATGGCTTCCTCTTTGATTTTACCATACAATTTAACAGTGTCCATGGATTCTGAAGCAGTAAAAGATGTTCCTGATGTCATTTCTGAAATGGATGTTAGACCGTATCAATTCGATCCAGTTTTACATCTTGCAAGACAATCTTCCAGTGAAGACGAAGAAGAGGAGTCATGCAAAACGGAGGCACCGCTTGATGTAATAATAATTTTAAAATAGACGATATCGTTTAACAAGAATACTATTTGTCAACAAACTGTGATACAGTTCCAACCAACAAACCAATCCCTCTAAATAAATGACCAGTCCCTAAGAAAATATGTTTTTGAAATGTGATTGCAGTTCTTTTTGTGTCAAATGGGTGACTGTAGGGTGTCTGGAGTTAATTTTTTTTAAAATAACAATGCTTCAGACGGGAAAAAAATCGAAATTATCTGCTACAAAGATTACACTGAAATTATTTTGTTGAAAAACTTAAGGATCCTAGTTCTCATTAATAACGTCTCAAGTCTCCATACAAGATCTCAGCCTGGTCCAGCAGAGATAACATACGCGACGCAGATAAGTTATTCACCGAAAACTGATGAATTATAAAATACTAGTCAGGACAATGTATGTTTCCCTAGGTTTTGGTTATGGAAATAGGGTACTCGGTCATAGCCTTAGAATGAAATCGTGTCAGCCAGTGAGAATACTGAATAACTTTCACTGCACACACTACTGACAATTAACGAATCTGATGCCGACGTGTGTAATTGGACAAAATGGAAAACAATGAAAGCAACAAGTACTTCATCATTTGCCGTTGTATTCGTCAGTGTTTCGGGAAGATTGCAGCATTTAGGGCTCCAAACCGAAAAGAACGTTATAGCGAAACATTTTCAAGCTCATGGGAAATTTCTTACTGATTTTGATAATATGTATCTCATGGGTACCAGTCGATCTGCCCCAAGTACAAAATGCCTCAGCAAATTTGGTCACTGGTTCTAATTTGGTCAAATTTATTTAAAATGATTAAATATATGCCGTAAATGCATAGTTATTGTCAACTTTTTAAGTAAACTCATAACTATGTATATACTTTTATATGAAGAACATAATATCAAAGTTGACAAAAACTCTGCATTTATATATACATTTTAAATAAATTTGGGCATTTTAACTACCCCACTGGGACAATTTGACCAATACTCCGGGTCAATTTGACCAGATTTGCTGAGGCATTTGGTACTGGTATGTTGCTGCCATTTATCGTGTAACAATGTTCCAAATGAAATGCAATGCATATGTTGATTCCGTAAGGGGCTGCGATGTGCTATATTTAGACTTATACTAGATTAGGACAGAAAGATTTTGAAAGTACTGCAGCCTCAGTGAGTGTTTCAGGGAGTCCAGATTTTGGGTAAAGTAGTTAGGCCTTGCCGCTCATCGCATATTCATCCCAAGTTGCAAGAAGACTGGTATTGTGTGGCGTTCATACATACTGGAAACTCTGCTTAGGCCTCTTTTGCTAGTTGAGATAATGTTGCTGAGGTGAATATCACCATCACTGTCTTTGTTGCAACAAGCACAGCACTTGCATTATATCACCTTTGAATTTGTACTGCCACTCTGCTCTGTAAAGCCCTAGTCGTACCTTTATAGTGATTTCTATTGATTAGTAAACTTAGCTAAGTTTAGGACACAATTTTAATCACAATGATTCGTGTTTATTAGTTTCACACGTAACAGTATTCACTTTAGAAAAAGGATGGTTCTTATGTAATTTCAAAATATATCTAATGAGGTGGTTCTTTTTGGTGTGGGGCGTTTTTAGAGACTGCATGAGGTTTTTAGCAAACTCGTAGATCTCGAAAATACAAAACCACTAGCAAAAGCGTGAGTGCGATGAAAGCCAAGGTCGTAACTCGATACACACTCCTTAAGATCCGGGTTAGAATTGATCTTCAGCATCCTATTCTTGTCGCAAAGAGCGCGATTGTGTTGTCAGGCACTTTGACTTGGTTGTTGCACATCATCGCATCTCAGATCACTGAGTTCTCTAGTCCAGACTCGATTCTACACTGCACTCAAACGTGCGTGAGTGACCTCATTACAAGGACAAGTCTGAAACACCCGTTCCTGTTAAAACAGAATTTCGTTTATGGCGAGTAAATACAACAGCAATAACATAAAACCCATTGATGGAATTCTTAAATCATCTTTATTGATCAAAACGAGAACTTTGCCAGAATTGTTATCTTATAATGACTTCAAATCAGATGGAACCAGCTTCCTGTGACAAGAGCAACAGATGAAACATATCCCGTTGCCATGTTGTTAGAGAGGTGAATCTGTACCTGGTTCGGCCCAGGACAAACACAGGTACGGGGACAAGAAACTCCCAAACAGTCCAATACGTGTTGCTGGCAGGATTAAACTTGTCAGAATCATACAGTTTAAAGAAAGTGTCAACGCGATGGTCATTAAAGGTAACATATGATACACTGATTGTTTCATTGATCAACCAACTGGTTGAAACTCTCAGTCTTGCACTGTCATACTGGCCATTTGGTAGAGATATCACTGTCGAGACAACATCGCCCTTGATTGGTATCAGTGTATCCGCTCCGTAATATGTGGTTTCGTTGAGAGTGACCGACGGCAGTTTGTTTGAAGGGATATTGAATGTAAAGTGACATGTTGCTTCAGGAGGAAGTTCAACAATTCCTTGTGTCTTCTGGATGTCGATGGTTTTGTTGAAGGTGATGACTGGGAACCAGTCGTCCTTGATGGTAATGCAAGTAGCTTGGCCAGTTGTTGGTTTGATCCAGTCTTCTTGGAAGACTAGCTTGACTGCCTGTGACCTCCGAGAATAGCTGTGCAAGAGAATGACGGTTTCGTTCGTCGATGAACTTGACATTGCTAATGGCGACACGGTTCGTTCCTTTCCATCATACTGACTGTTAGTTCTGATAAAGGAAAAGCCTGACCTGAATTTGTACCAAAACTCGAAAAAGTCAACAATACGGGTGGGTTCTCCATCAGGTGAGAAAAGTGAATAGTTTAGAGTATAACGTCCTGGCCTTTCTTCACTGGCTAGAAGAAACACCACTGCTCTGTCAATGTATTCCCTCAGACCCAGTTGAGTAAATTTGTGGCCATTAGACTGGTAGATTGTTGAAAAGTCAATTATGGGTGATGGAGCATATTTGTCAAGACCACTGACGGCGTCACGTCCATATTCACTGATAACAAGGGGGATCATCTTTCCGGTCTTCTGAGAGGCATAGTTTTCAACCAGGTCTATAAATGCTACCAGACGTGCTTCATTTGCTCCAGTAAAATTGTAAGATCTTCCCGAAACAACGAGGTTGTTATACGAATGGAAAGAAAATACATCTATGTAGCCTAAAGTCCCATCCATGAAGTCTGCCACTTTGTCCCAGTATGAAAAGTTGCTTAAATCAGCATACTTTGTATAACTGCCTATTGTTGGACCAGCCACCTTGATGTTAAATCTGGCATGGAGTTTCTCCGCAACTAATTTGTGAAAGGTGGTAATAGTCGTGAAATTTAGGATAGCCCATTTATCACTCGGTTCGTTTATGGGCTCAAGGTAGGGTGGTATACGTCCTTTGGTGCAATCATACACTCCTTGCATCAACAACATCGTGAACTCGGCAGCAACATCGACATTGTTTGGGAAATGACCATCATGTTCAGATGTGTCTACCCAACTCGGGTATTCAAGAGCTGTCAATAGGAATAGAGTAAAACAGATAAAGAAATGAATTTGATGTTACAATAAGTAGAAATTAAACAGTGTAAAACATTGAAAAGCTTAAAAAGTAAACTTTTATGATTTGGAAAATGTTCAAATGTGTCTATCCATCTCGGGTAGGACAATGCTGCCAACAGTAAAACGGATACAGGAATGAATTTGTTATTAATTTGAAAATATGTATAAACTGTTGAGGATCTTCTTACAAACTGTTTCAATAAATCATTGTTTTTTTTTAAAGAAATTGATTTAATTGAGGAATTCTGATTAATATGTTTTGTAGATAAATTCATTTTAACGATTGGTAGTTTAGATATAATGTTAGTGGCTGTATCCTCATGGGGGGTTAAAATATTGTAAAATTATTGTCCTCTTGAGAGGGTGCGTAAGCATTCAAAAGAAATATAATTTACCAGTTTGTTTTTTTTAAAACGTAGTATCTTTGTAATTTTATATCATCGCTATATTTTCCTACAATCTCTAGCGGCTGCAGGGATGGTGTAAATCCAGCTAGGGTCCATGCAGGAAGTGAGTGAGTTTAGTTTTACGCCACACTCAGCAATACTCTAGCTATATGGCAGCGGTCTGTAAAAAATCGAGTCTGGACCAGACATTCCAGTGAGCAACAGCGTCAGCATCGATCTGCGCAATTGGGAACCGATGCCATGTGTCAACCAAGTCAGCGAGCCTGACCACCCGATCCCGTTAGTTGCCTCTTACGACAAGCATGGGTTTCTGAAGGCCAATATTCTAACCCGGACCTTCACGGGTCCATGCAGGTAGCAAATGTAATGTAAGTCCGCATGGTCCCTAGTATGGTGATCTACCTTCAGTTGTTGGCGATCCATAGCCCATTTCTATATTGTATTGTCCCTAATAGTCATATATTTTTTAAGTTAAATGCTCGTTTTAATACCTCAACTTGTTATCTTCTAGCTGTTTTACTGTCCTTTGTCGACAGATTTTATATTATCTATAGTTAACATATTAGCTGTAATATTGCCGATGTAACTATAAATTTTAACTCACTATAAATTTGAAATGAAATGGTTTGAAAACATCTGAAATATCAAAACGTTAAGACTAAATCAGTAATGTTGTAATCAAGAATGCAGAATTTAGGAAAGAATGGAATGAAATGGCAAAGGTTTCTTTTTTACGAAACAAAGATTATAGGCCTTCATTTTATTTATGAGAGATCATATCATCATCCTCAATACCAGAAAAGTTCCGATTCCAAGTGAGATATTTCCAATTTGCCATTGTCTATTGGACATTGGATCATTTCTGGGCATCAATATGGCCACTGACAATGAACCGACCATGGGCTATAGCTGCACCACCAGGAATCAATGAGAACCAATGGAGAAACGTGATGTTGGCACAATGATGGTAGTTGGTATTGACCCCACGATGGTATCCCTAACTGCCCAGGACAACTGCCCCCGACAACTGCCCCTGGCACAATAATATGGCTATAGTCACTTGTATTGAGTTGTCCCACCATGTCTACAGAGCAACCATCTTGAAAGTTCTTACCTCCTGCCACCAAGATCATGTCGTTCTCATAACCAGTGTTGATGTTCTCTAGGTAATCGGGGCACAGTCCCTGCTCTCTGCTGACATTCTTCAGATAGTTGGGGTCAGGGTAGCCGCTACGGTTTGGATCTTCCGGCCACTGTAATAGATATGTTTGTAAGAATATTGGATTGTATTCAACTTAGTGGCATTTTGTAAATTTGGGTCAATCAGCGTGAACATCTACTCTCGCCCTTATCGGGGCGGTGGGATAGCCTAGTGGTTAAAACGTGATAATGCTGGAATATTGCTAAAAGCGGCTTAAAACCAAACTCAGTCAGTCAGTATCACTCTTGTCCGTTTATGCGGGTGAAATGGTTTAGTCTCACTTTGCCAACACCCTGAATGTTGTTTTAATGGATTAGGGGTTACAGCCTAGAGAATTTCTTGCTATAGGCTGTTTCATCTAATTAATGTGGTTGACGTCTTTTGGTTAGGTATGTGTGCTGATATGTAAATTGCAAGTCCACTGACATGAAATATGAAAAAGAACATCATCAATCAATCAATATTTATTCATCAAGTGCTCTTGATATAGTGATTGAAGGGGTCGACTTTCCTTCTTCGTTATATCCTTCACTGTTGCCAGGAACTTGTCCACGACGATCTTGATCTGGTTGAAAGTGTGGTTATGGGAATGGTTCTCGGTTGTCACGAGATCATTGGATGTGTTAATGGTAGTAGGACAAGTTCAACCCAGCATTTCCAATGTACGGTACCTCGTGTCCTCCTAACTCCATAGGGGCGGTGGGGTAGCCTAGTGGTTAAAGCGTTGGCCCGTCACGCCGAAGACCCGGGTTCGAATCCCCACATGGGTACATTGTGTGAAGCCCATTTCTGGTATCCCCCGCCGTGATGTTGCTGGAATATTGCTAAAAGCGGCGTAAAACCAAACTCAGTCAGCCCTTACTCCATATTTATAACCTTCGTACACCAGGCTACGACCGCCACGACTATTAGGTACAACGTTTACAAGTGCATTTGCCATTTTGCAATGAGTGCATTTGGAGTCAAGATATTTATACCATCTAATGCATTGATTGCTTTTTGATTACTCATCATCACTGTTGATAACATGCCATGATCATGAGTTGCGTTCACCTAATTATTCGATGCACTCTGATTTCAAATGGCCACCACATTTAATTTTGCTACCTATAGTTAAATTTCACAATTTTGTATATCTACAGTTACATTATCTACTAGACAATTAACTTTCACATTGCAGCCTCATTTCATGGCAATGAATAAAACTATAGTTAATCCCCCCATTGTGCACTCATTTATCATGGCCGACTGCATTTGCAACCAGAACAATAGGGTGGTGGCAAAGTGAGACGACTTCGGTAAGATAGCGTAGAGGAAAGGAGTGATTGACTGTCAATGGTAAAAGTACATCAAAGTTTAAATTTGATTAGGTTCAAAATTACAGGTAAAAATTCCATATATCCGCATTTAGAATATTTGTGTTCATTTCAAGTGTAACAATAATGGCACTTTTATTTGCCCAATTCCATTGTTCTCTGAATGAGTGCCTGAAAATACTTATAATATCTTTTTCGGAACTTTATACAGTTGGTTTGTTGTTTAACGCCGCACTCAGCAATATTCCAGCTATATGGCGGGAACTGTATCGCAACTTTATCATATCAATCACCTGATTGTCTGGTCCAGACGCGAGTTTTTATAGACGGCCGTCATATAAGTGAAATGTCGCTAAGGCAGGTGCCAATCAATAAAAGAAAACAGGCAAACAAGTGAAAGTACTTACTTTTTTGATGAGGTAACCGGTATTTTCAGGGCCTGGAAAGCGCCCACTATCAGTCCGAAGCCTCCGACAGTTTGGAATGAGGTTTGTTTGATCCAGACCAAAGTGTTTGTTCCACCTATTATTGTCGTAATTAGCGTTTCCTCCTTGTGCCAGCCACTGAGGGTGGATCGTCACAGTGGTGTCACTGTATACAACACCATCGTCACTGTATACACCACCTACTGTCAGACTCAGAGCGAAAAAGACCTGTGTCCATTTCATTTCCTGTAACACATACCAAAAATACCATACTGAGCTGATTTCACATCATAAACGATAATGATTTGCTTTTAATCATTACAATGGCAGTCAGCATCGTCATATATTGTTAAATATGATGGGATGCAGACAGTGATAAATGTATGTAAAGCTAAATAAAGCATTTCCACTTAGCTGTTTACTCTTTACTGAATTTATGTGGGACACTAATCCGTGATAGCATCCACACAATATCCACTTTTAATTTCGATAGATGACCCTGCTTCACCTGTCACGTACGTATGTACGCACACATGTATGTATGTATGTATGTGTGTGTGTGTGTGTGGGGGTGGATGGATGGATAGATAGATGGATGTTGAATGAATGAATGGATGAATGAATTGTCTTTATTTCCTCCAATAATGTCGGAGAGTACAATGAATTATGACATGAATACAAAATACATGATTATGTACAAATCATATTACAATGGGGAAGAAAGTTAAGCATATGTATATATATAATACACTGGGGCGTCTCTGAATGGATTACGAATCATAGGTAGATCCTGCTCTGTAGGTTCCACGAACTAATGTTACTGGCTACAATGTCAATGAACTGGGCCCACATGTGGATGTCCATGTTGTCCACGATGGGGGTGATGCCACCAAGTAGAGTGATAACTCTCATGTCATCAGAGCATCTCTCCAGATTGATGTATGTTTCTTGTGGCAAGATATCGAACAATTGTTCATACATGTTATTTCTTTGGCTAAACAGTTCACTGTAGCACAACGGCTGGTGCTGCACAATATCATCTGTCTCCTCAAGACATATAAGTCAGAGTCTAGCACTGACCGGTAGTATCCCAAGCTTTACCAGGGCGTACACAGGCCTACTGTACAGGTCAAACAGTAAGCACATGTTCCACAGTCTATGGGACGAGAGGCCCGTGTGTATAGCAGTAAACCGTTGTAAGTCGGTCCCCATGGATAACTGCTGTCTCCATACTGACGTCTCTCTGGTATGTATGTATGTATGTATGTATGTATGTATGTATGTGTGTGTGTGTGTGTGTGTGTGTGTGTGTGTGTATGTATGTATGTATGTATGTATCTGTATGTATGTATGTGTGTATGCGTGTGTGTGTGTATGTGTGTGTGTGTGTGTGTGTGTGTGTGTGTGTGTGTGTGTGTGTGTGTATGTATGTATGTATGTATGTATGTATGTATGTATGTATGTATGTATGTCAGGAAGTATAGGCATCTTATATTGTTTTGCACAAACGAAGACACACACATATACACGCACAAAGATGAATTTGTATTTTTAATGTTAACTTAGGTACCTCAGGAAAAATCCGAAACATATATAACCCCTTTAAATCCCAAAGTGGCTGAAATGTTCTATTGTATTTCCTTCCTGTAAAACCTGTACTTCTTGACAAATAGCATTATTCAGCCTTACATGAAGATTACATACATACGACATACTCACGTAACCCTGGAGGCCTAACTACTCGTATACACTGGGAGCGAGAGTCTATATAGCTAGATATCATGACAGCAAAAGTCAGTCACCTTGACACTACCATTCCATAAATGCATGTACAAGATAAGAAGATACGTTGGTATGTAGGTGTGGTGATGGAATAGCTCTGAGGTGAGGTAAGGTGAAATTGGGTTTAACGTCGTACTTGAGAATATTTCGCTCATATGACGACGTGCTTGCGTCTGTTTGTGTATGTGCGGCTGCTTGTACTAGCCCAGACTTAAGCTGGTTTTATAGTGCTAGCTCACTGAGATACCATGCCGCAGTGAAGCATGAATACCCCACTCAGACACAGTATACTGACTCCGAGCCGACCAGTCCTTGTTGTACCCATTAATGCCGAGCGCCAGGCAGGGACCAACAAGTACCATATTTTAACGTCTTTTGGTTTGACGCGGTCGGGAATCGAACCCGCGAACTTTCGCTCTCCGGGCGGACGCTCTAACCACTACACCACGGAGGTGGTCGAACAGCTTTGAGATAACTGCTTTCACCCTGAAAGAAAAGTATTTTGCACCAAACCATGAGCATTGTAACACCAAATCCTGATGTATTAATAGTTTGTCTAGTGAAGGTCTTACCTCATTTTATAAATGCTTAGGATATGGAGTGGTCAAAGGGAGACAACTCCCATTTGTTTATGTGCCCTTAGACAAAAGGGTGATAACTCTGGAGTTTCCAACATGACGCCCATGCAACTATGTGATCACTTTCAGAAGCAAAGCATTAGAAGATTTCCTGATTCTTCATTATTACACAACTCCATGTATACACCTATGCAGATTATTTTGTCATCAGACAGCTATTGTCGTTGTTCTCAGATGTGTTGTTTCCTCGATGCGCCATACGCTTGATGAAGAACAACAACTCACACTCTCTTGGTCATAGATGCTCATGAAGTCGCTGGAGTAATGGTTGATGCAGACTCAATTACTTAGCCACTGCCTCCCGAAATCGACGTTAAGGTCGAGGTAAGGTTGAAAATTTATGTTATGAAAATAATGTTTCATTCGGCTGATGTACAGAGTTTTGTTGCTTGGGCTGTTCTTTTGATGTTTGTTTTTTCAGCAACGCTTTTCAGATCACACCTGGTATGGTGATCTACCTTCTGGTGTTGGCGATCTATAGCCTGTTTTTATATTGTATTGTCCAATAGTGCTATTAGTTTTAACTCTCCACACTAGTTTTAGTTGTAATTGTGATATTCTAGTTGTTTTACTGTCCTTCGTCGACAGGTTTTTATAACGTACATATATTCCATTTCAATATGAAATGTTCTCATTTCACGTATTATTGTATACATTGTTTTCGTCACGATATGGCTGAAATATTGCCGATGTGACGTCAAATAATAACTCACTCACTCACTTTCAGATCACAAATGGTTAGGTGGTCAAGATACACTCGCCGTTTTGAAACATTAGTGCCCGACAAAATAGGAACTGTTATCAAAGGATTTCATGTGAAAAATGTGAATGTATACACATCTCATCGTTCTGCAGTGACTTACAATTGCATCTTGGCTACCGTGTCACCACACCAACGTAACATGTACATTACATGACATTAGTGAGTGAGTTTAGTTTTACACCGCATTCCGCAATATTCCAGCTATATGGCAGCGGTCCGTAAATAATCGAGTCTGGAGACAATCCAGTGATTAACAGTATGAATATCGATCTACGCAATTGGGATACCATGACATTTGTCAACCAAGCCAGCGAGCCTGACCACCCGATCCCGTTCGTCGCCTCTTACGACAAGCATGGGTTACTGAAGATCAATTCTAACCTGGATCTTCACGGGTAACATGACCTTATCTTATACAGACATTACTAGAAAGGTGTCAAGACCACAGATAATTTTTCAGTTCTAAAGAAAAAGACCGCGAGGCGTTAGTCGCCTCTTACGACAAGCATGGGTTACTGAAGATCAATTCTAACCTGGATCTTCACGGGTAACATGACCTTATCTTATACAGACATTACTAGAAAGGTGTCAAGACTACAGATAATTTTTCAGTTCTAAAGAAAAAGACCGCTTGTCAGTACACCTATTCACCTCTAGATGATAGTACACATTCCAGCGACAGTCTTGTGGACACTGCATCTGATAATAGACACAAAGAAACCTTAGCTGATCTCAAAAGGCAGATTCGTGGGTTAGGCACTGGGACTTAGGCAAAGGTTTCTCAGCATGAATCGCTGTTCATAGCATCAGTTACTGGATGTTCACGATCGTTTGTTTTTATCCCTCCAGCATGTATGTGAAAAATGTGAAAAATGTTCTTTGTACGGTAAGAAAAACACATTTGATGTCTTTCCACGAAATATATACTGAACCAAGATACATCTTTAAAATGTATTTACAAGCCTCCAACAATGTTTAATGCGCTCTTACAAAGCCATAGCCATAGTCACAACATTTGACCTTCATTGCACACACTTTACACAACATTGTCAGGAAAGTGTTAGGAAAGGTTTCCGTTACATAAAGGCGCGGAAAACCACATATAAAGTCGGCCTTGTCTTTAATCCAGCATAAGGTAGTCACGTTTAGGAAAGAATTTATATAAAAACCAAAATACATTTAGAAAACAATATGATGTAAGTCAAGTGTTTTGGGGTAAGAGGTAACAGACGCCTGGCATGTGCAAAAAGTCAGACAAAATAACAGCCGGTGACCCTGTTTGTCAAACCAACCACCTTGTTTCCTTATCATCAGCCTTGACTGTTGCATTGATATGAAGATAAGCCTATTGTTCTAGGACTAAGGTCTTTTGAAATATACATATGCAGGTGTACCTTTCACAGTGAGATATACTTATACTAGTATGGAGAAGGTGCAATATGAAGAACACCGTTTCACACACTAAACACAGTCATAGGCTTCATAGTCATTCCGTGTTTACAGTGTTGGAATACCGTTGATCCGAGATATTAAAACTTACCCCTGATGTGTTTTAAAACAAATCTATACCCCAAATTTAGAGTGACAGTTTGACATGCATTAACCTCAAGGCTACCCTATCAGCACACCTGCGTGTCAGTGCATGTTATTATCTGGTACATACATTTAAGGAATGATAATTCCAAACTGGTGTCCATGAAATCCAACTATAAAGACTATTGCTCATATAAATGACCAGTCAAAACTGGACCGTCTCGTGAGTATGACTTTGGTACGTACCATTCATGTCATAATGCATGATTCAAGTCAAAGACTATTGTTTTCATTGGAAGGAAATGAAAGATTTTAGTTCAAGCACTTTGAGGATTAAAGGGGATATATTCATGGAAATGAATAAGGGAACACATGAAAGTACAAGTGTGCCTTTATTTGTTTTCCAGAAGTCCCCTATAGTTAAAATGTTTTAGATTTAATTACTAGTTTCACATTTATATCTGTGATATTCTCGTTGTTTTACTGTCCTTCGTTGACAGGATTTTATTATCTATCTTTAATAATTGTTAATATATATGTTGTTTTAGTCACGATATGACTGAAATATTGCCACAGTGACTATAAATTTTAACTCATTCACTATTTTCCGAAATTTTACTCATAGTGCAACACATACCTTGTGAAGAAACCTGGAAAAGAAAAAAAGAACACTTGTACTTCTATGTGTTCCCTTATTTGTTTCCATGAGTGTATCGATCTACCTTCAGTTTGTCAATCTGTAGCCTGTTTTTATATTGTATTGTCATGTATAGTTATGTATGTTTTAAGTTTAATTACTAGTTTTAAATTGCTATCTGTGATAATTGCTATTTTTGACAATCTAGTTGTTTTACTGTCTTTCGTTGACAGGCTTTTATGATTTATCTAAATTATTATAAATAGATAACTTGATATAGTCACGATATGGCTGAAATACTGCCAATGTGACTTAAAATGTAGGAACCCAAGGACATTAAGTCGTTAAGTAACAAGGACAGCTATATAATGGTGATCAGACAACAATGGCAATAGGGATTATAGTTAGTTATCCAACCTCCATCTTCGACGTTCGCAGTCTCTGAAGCATTATTCTTGTAACTGTAGTACCGCTAGGACATAGAGATTGTTTATACTTAACTAAGACATGCAAATGGCTCCATCAACACGTAGTCAACTGTCAGTAACGGGTTATTTAACTTGTGAATGAGTGAGTGAGTTAAAGTTTACAGTCACAACGGCAGTATTTCAGCCATATCGTGAATAATAGTTATAAATTCATGTTATATACATACCTTTTTCAAACCCGTCGACGTAGGACAGTAAAACCAACTAGAATATCACAGTACCAAAATTTACAGCTGGCATCTATCTCTAAAATTGGATTTCAAATTAGGACAGTACAAATACAAATCGGGCTTTAGATCACCAACAATTGAAGGTAGATCACCATACTAGGGACCATGGGGACTTACAGTACCTTCGCTACCTGCATGGATCCTAGCTGGAATTAAGTCATCCCTTCAGCCGTTGGCGATTGTAGTCAAATTTATTTAAATTGAAGTCTACTTGCAGTAACAGGTTATATACATACCAATGTATAACTGCATGCATAATATTGACTTGGATCATAATAAACCACTCACCACAATGTTGAAAGCCTGTTTTAGGGTAAAAAGCAAATAACCGTTATTAATTAAACGAAACAGTTCTAATTTTAATGAAATAATCTCATTGAATGTTCCAGAGAATGAAATGGATAAAGGTCTTGCTTACTCTGAGTCTGAGTTTGACAGTGGTCGGAGGCTACAGTGACACTACGGTGACCATCCACCCTCAGTGGCTGGCACAGGGAGGAAGCGCTCGCTATGACAACAATAGATGGAACAAGCACAATAACTTGGATCAACCAAACCTTATTCCAAACTGTCGGAGGCTTCGGACTGATAGTGGGCGCTGGGGTGACCCAGACACAAGCAGTCGTCTCTTTCAAGAAGTGAGAATGTTCGTTTGTTTGTTTGTTTGTTTGTTGT